CCCCCCCCCCCCCGCTTCTTCGGGACTGACTGACAACTGACAAACGGCTTAAATTTTAACTAACAACTGACAAAAAATGACTGATATTTGCTTATTTGCTGACAACTGACAAAGTTCGCTTATTTAGATGGCCTACGAGACCTTTAAACCATTTCCAATTTACATTTTTTTCACGCCAAGTCAGAACAGCCAGGCCCGAGAACAGCAAATAAGATTTGAAAATTCCCTATGTCGTTCCTGGACTTCCTAAGCCGGACCAAATAAAGTTAATCATTGTTGATTAAATTGTAACATATCTGATACATGATATCAATTGACCTATGGTACACACATCTTCGTCCTCGCAGAGAACATGCGAGGCAAAAGGAGTGATATAAGCCGATCGTGAATTTCTATATTTTCGAATCCGATACGACGTAAATTGTTTAGAATGTGGACGGAAGCCAGCGTTGAAACCAAGCATTTTGCAATTGCGACGGATGGCTCATCTGTCAGGCATTGGTACTTGGAACTTCCAAAACTCCGCTCAAGACTCTTTGTTGAAGAAAAAGGCATGGCAGTTAAAGCAATCTCTTTCACAAGCAACCATTGCGCTGATTACGGTATGTGCCAATATATATGACATATAATATTATATATGATATATAATAACAAACGGAATCAATGCCAAAAGAAAAAAGGGAAAAGGACATTCAGAGATCATTGGCAATCAAAAATCGATTACAATGGGGTTGGTATTTCTGGTGCTGGACTTCGACTCGTCGACTCAGGGGCACCCAACGACTGTAAAATATTTGTTCGGAGAAGCAAATATTGCCTAGAATTTTCTATAACTTGAGGACGGCTAAAAATTTCTAGATAACATTTCCATTTATGTACAAGTTTCGACGCTTCTCTAATAACAATAATAATAATAATAATAATAATAATAATAATAATAATAATAATAATAATAATAATTCCGTTATTTAGCTATTTACGATTAGCAGTATTTATAGTACCACTGTTAGTGAGGCCGAGCAAATGCCTGAAACAAATTATTCAAATTGAACTTAACAAGGTTAAGAATCCCAACTGGCCGGAGGAAAATCAGCTGGCTATTTACAAGCATGGTCTCATGAATCCCCACAATTTTCTGAAGTTCAATTTTCACATTTCACTCCCCAAGTTAGGCTATTTTTCGTAGAGAAAACGAAATCTAAAATTTTTGGACTCAAAAATGTGATGGAGAGTGGAATCAGAAAATGCCTAACTTTCGTAATACGTGAAATTGCATCTAAAATTTTCGGGAAAATACTAATACTCAAGCCCTTATAATTTCGAAAAGATTCAAGTTGCCCTAGGATGACCGAACAGATACACTGTTTATAGTGCCACTTAGCCGGGATAGACTGTTCACAGTCCATATTTTTCCGTAATATCATCGAGATCGAGCCTCGGAGATCGAGCGCTTTGCGTGACGGGCTGCCATCTTGCAAGAGTGTCAAAACTACTTAGGGGCGGGGACGGTTTGGGAGCAAGCCATAATCCCCAACGCCCGCCCCCTCGGTACATTCGAAAAATAAAGATACCCGTGACGGTAAGACGCGGTATATCTAAACGATCTCACGAAAAAATAGGGGACTGTGAACAGTCTATAGCCGGGAATGTATACATACTTCTACAGATCTAAAAGTACTCTAACCTGGGTGCTAGAGGCTTTTCATGCGCGCTTTCCAGTTTCGGTTTAATAAGTCTTTAAAATTAAAGTACTCCGGATAGCCTAAAAAGTGTTTTCAATGTATTTAGGAGGAAACTGTCGTTGGGTACCCCTTTCAACTATCCATCGATTGAGTTCTCAATTCGGACAGCGCGATTGGAAATAACGACGTGACAAAAGGGGATAGGGACGTCGAGGCGTGTTAATTAATATGGACGGCGGATTTTTTTGTAGGAAACAACTATACATAGGACTGTATAAGACTCCAAATAAAGTATTGTCATTCTCATTGTCATTATAACGCCTCGAACCGGCGCCGGCCCGCTACGCAGGCTATCTCAATTACAGTGGCTCGCGTGCTTGGCATGGGTTACCTCAGACAACCAGACATATTGTGTGT